TCAGACCTTGGCTCAATGTTATCCCTTCAGAGGAATATTGTATGTGACAGTTCATGCAAATCATACGAGGCTAACCCTTCTTGCAGTCATCATTGCTTATATTCTGTTACAATTCTCGATACTGCCCGATGTGGATGAGTTTACACTTCAAGGAACGTTCATGGCCGGCTCCCCGACAGACGATGTTTATCTCTTCCTATTCCTCGCCGGCGTAGACGACTCAGACGGAAGCTTGGCTGTTCGCGTGCCTCCGGGGATCGAAGCATATTACTGGTCATTTGATCCTGAGGGGATTGAGCACTTGCCGCAGGACGCCTTGGACAAGCTCGCGCTTCCACGCGTAAATTTCCAGGCCCGCGTGTACGGGGGATGGTGGAGCCATGAGATCTATGATTCAATTTCAGAGCTTCACAGCGCAAAAGGATATGATCCTGCCAGCCAAGATGTTGCAATTAAACTTGGGTATCCCCTTGTGGATGTTGATATGTTGAATGATCTCATTAATGTCAGTAAGGTGAATAGACTCCATGTTACCATTGACCACAAAAAAATCTGACCACTGGCCAAAGATCGAAGAGGTCGACGAGCTTGAGGTGCAAGAGGGGAACATTTGACTACGCCTCCTGTGGGCAGTATTTTACTCCCCCAGAGTTGTTGTGTTAGGATGTTCTGAATATCACTATGAACCAACCCGGCATTGAGTTGAGCTCGAAGTCAACTGGCCGGTCCCACTGTTTTCTTTTACCTCACGACGACGGAATTTTTTCGCAGAGGGTGGTAGGCACATAGGGCTTTGACCGTCCGTAGTCTTCAATGGGGTTGACGGCCCCCGTCTTATTTATCAATCAGAAGTCAAGCCACTTCGTCCGCATACACATTGAGACCAGTGGGCCTACTTGTACTACATGGCACCCAGGCAGGAATCTCTTCTTATTTGGCAACTTCCGAGGGCTGAGAAATTGGAGCCATCTTATCCCTGAATAGATAGATATATCTACGCCATATGGAACTCAAAATACACTCAGTGATTCTCGGCTCTCTTTACCTTGCGCGGCGCAGTACTTTGAATTTATTCGTTTTTCTTGACCAGGAGCCTGCCAGCGATAGCATGAGATCCTAACATCGCCACACAAATTGCCTCTCTTCGGCTGCTTCGACGATACATGCCTCGGCTCTCGGGATACAGCCTCCGCGACGGCATACACGGGTTCCTTCTATCCTTCTCGTCTCTCCGCCTTGTGAACGACCAATCTCCCGTCGCCCGAGTCGCGCCCCGACGCACCTAGTTCGCCTTAACCGCTGCTTTCCCACTCTGCTCGCTGCCCCCATACATCGCTTCACAACCAATCCGTGCTTGCCCCGCACGCCCCGATCGCGACACCTCTTCGCCATATACGCTGATGTCTTGTGATTTGCCTATACGCACGACGATCTGATTCGCGCTTCCGCCCTGACGCCTCGATGTCCCTCCGCCATATCCGCCGCCCATTAGCCGTCTCGCGCTTCTGCGCGCGTCCCGATGCACCTTCTCCATAGTAGCCGCTACCGCCATCCGGCTTTTCTCCCGTGCCCGCACGACCCAATCCGCACGCCCACGTCCCGCACGCCTCTTCTACTTATACTTCCGGCACACGCTTCTCCATGCCCGCCCGAGACCCAATCCGCTAGCGTTTTGCCCACCCCGATGCCCTTTGCCGTGTCCACTGCGCCACACATTTGGCGATGGATATACACGGTACCGCGCGCAGGTCGATGGTGATGGAGCAGGCGGGGGAAGAAAGCGCTCTCTGGATCAGGCGGCGACGATGGCGCGAGGAACGGGCGGCTAGCGCGGGTACTAGAGGTACATCGTCTCTGATGATCAATGTCACGGTGAGCTCGTATGTACCTTCGTCGGCTTCACAAGCAGGCCGGATACAGTGCCGTGCTGCTCCTCCCGCGCGATATGAGCGCGATTGCTGCCACGCATCACGCCCTCGATTCCGCGCTGGCTACGCCCGTATCCACTGGTCCGTCCGCCTTCCTCTCATATCTCGCATCCGCAGCGCCGGGGCGTGGAGGTGGACAAGGAAGCGGCCGAGCACGCGCAGGAGAGACGCTCGTGCCCCCGTAGTGCGTCCTTCGTCTTCATATTCTGCCTATCGCGCTTACACTGCTGCGGGACTCTCCGCACCTTGCCCGACGTGTCGCGTCCTCAAGGCTGGATTCGCCCGCACCTCTAACGCACGGCGTGAAGAGCTCCCTCCGCTCAGACGCGCGCCTCTCGATCTGCTGCCTCCATTGCGCGGCGGCTGTACAGCGCGCTGTGCACTGTTTCTCGGAGATTCAGATGTAGCTGGTGCGGTGTCATTGCTTTGACGACCTCTTTTGCATCTCGCCGATCTGGTTAACATGTTTGTCAGGCTCCGTCTCGACTTCCTTCAGGCGAGCCAAGGCGTGTTTACAGAGAGATTCCAAATCATTCCTCGACCCAACCTGGAATCATTAACCGTCCAGCCCACTGAGAAGCAGGACATTCCATCTACACAATAATCCAATGTAATCCCTCCGCTTCACAGATTTACTTCCAGTTCGATATGTGTCGATGATTTCTTCTGGTTGAGGAATTTCTAATTCGCTTTTTTGTTCTTTTTACTTAACAGTGAGTAGATTGTGAATGAATTGGTGCCATCGCCCATTGCCCGTCGTGTAAGGCATCACGACGAGGTTCGAATCCTCCCGGGGGCATTCGAACGCTCGCCGCTCTTCATTTTACTCCACCGACGACTTCGCGCCGCCCCTGCTGTGGAACGGGTTTTCACCGCAGGACTGCAGTAGCCTCGACGCGTTCCGTGGCCACAGACGCGTTGTTCTCGAGCCCTGGTGGGTGCCGGAGGTGAATTGGGCTGTTGGGAACCCTAACCCGCGTCCAAACTGAAACTTTCGCGAAGCTGGGGTGCGTCAATCTAGTCATTCTTGATGCAGATGAACAAATGTAGGTTGGCAGCTATGTAGTTGACAGCGCGTGAGAGACGGCATGTACCCGGTACCGAGCTTCAAAATGCTATCACAGGCCCATTAGCAAGTTATCAATCACTCCATGGTCGTCTGGGGTATGCTTGAAAGGTATTTCGACGCGTCTTTGGAAGCGTAGCAGCGTAGGACAAGAGGATGGTCGCCGGGGAGGGTGGTGGTAGAGGAAAGAGGCGGGGCAAATATTTGGCTATTTTGTACTGCATCAGCGCGTTCTGACACGATCACAGTCGCACGTCAACGATCCGCCATATTTTCTCCATCTCCATCGTGCCACTCAAAGTCAAAGAGTGTCCCGCTGGCGTATGCCATCAAATCAAGTTTCGGTCGACGACTCCAAAACTGCGCCTCCCGCTTTTCAAGATCACGCTCGCCTCCTCCGTTTAAATTTTATTGACCTCCCGCATCACATACGCTGGTATAAATTCTGTTCCCGCCACGACAGGCGCAAGCGCTCACCAAGGTCAAAACCCAAGCAAGTTTACCTCATGACAGGGATTCGCGATGGGACATATATATCTGATTGTTCTCGAACATCGGCTCAATTACGCGGGTGAAATATATAAATGCTCCGGTTGTCCCTGACAGGCTTTGCGAATCTTCTTCAGGCACTGCTGTCACCTATTTTATCGCCTCCGCTTTTTTTTTTCGGTCGTATATCAAGGTCCAACACGCCCCGCTTCGCTCAGATTCACCTGTCCCCCAGTACATCATCCATAAATATGCGCAGATTTCACCCTTGCATCGTTGGCCTCGTATTTATGGTGCATAAAACCTTATATCTCCTTGCTTGTTGGACTAATCACGTCTTCAGGTTACCATGACCCGTTGTACATGGGCCGCGGGCCCTGCACCAGTTCCGTTGGGAACTGCGTCCACCTCGACAGTGGCGTTTGCACCCCAATGTACCCCGACTGTGGCCCCATGCGTTACTGTCGAGTTCGCGGGCCTGACTGCTTCGGTTGAGGGACACGACTTCCTCACCTTTACTCTCACGGATACTGTTCAAGGTTCGTCCTTCGGAATAACATTGATCGTATTCGCCTGCAACTACCAACAGAGTGCATCGACTTATGTCTCTGCCTTCCCGGCGGGTGTGCGTTTGTAAATCGTACGTCCTCCTATTCATTCTTCCTCGACGCATTAACGAATTATTTGGCATCTTTCAGCGCACTTGGACAGCACGAAGGCATGTGGTTCAAACCCTTTTATGTACGTTCCGGTTAGCTAATTCACCTTCACCAACAGAACACGACAAAGTTGACATGCGCATTTTACGCCCAATGCCACACCACTGAGGACGCGACCAACTTCGGCGGACAGACACAGCCTGATGGGAGTCTTTCGACAGTTTCTTCCAGCAGCGGGATCTGCTTGGACCCGTGCTGACTTCGCCACGAGCGGAATTCTTCGGATTAAAAACTATATCTATAAGTGCGGTATTTCACTCCTTCCTCGGACTCTTGATGATACTTGTACATTACGTGCAATTGTGGGTGTGGATAGCGAGACTTGTTAAATAAGACGAAGGCGCGACACCAACGAAGGGTGTGGAGTCATTTAGTCCGTTCACTTTTGAGCTCGTTCAGCGCAGGCAAAAGGAAATATTATAAGGACCAGGAATGTGAGTACTTTGATGCAACCAACTCGGACACGATCCACTTCGTGCACGGCGCTACCACGGTCGGGGACGACAAACAAGAGGCCAACGGGGACGCTCCACATGGGTGTGCCAATCCGCCGCGCTGACATGTCGCGCTACAGCTATATCGATCTCGTGGTGGCGGAGAAAAGGAGGAGGATGGCTCTGCGGGGCCGGAACTCCTCTTAGATGAATTGGGACATCACCAATTATTTATGGGGGAACAGAGAGGCATATGCATGGGAGGCGGGGGGCTTCGCCAGCCATGAATAAAACTCTTGGGCGCTGCGGCCATTTATTTTTAATTTGAGGTGAGAAGGATGCAGGTTCTGAAGTAGGCAGATAAGCCCTCGTGGATGAGTTGGCACATCATCCACCTTACTTGTGCACTTATATCTATCGCGGCAAGGGGAAGGCGGAGGTTCGAATCCTCCCAGGGGCTTGAAGGTCTATCTTACGCTTTTGGGTGGCCGACCCATTTATTTTTTATTTGAGGTGAGGAGGATCATGCGTCCGTAGGTTCTACAGAAGGCAAATAAGCTTTTCATAGGTGAGTTGGCACATCACCCATTGATTGTGATGCGAAAATATATATATAAAGGGGAGGCGAAGGTTTAAATCTTCCTGCGAGCATACGGCGGCACCGGACACATTTTTTTTCTTTCTTTCCTTTAGCTGTCCTGCACGAGTTTCTCTCTTTTCGTCTCGCCGTCTGGGAAATGCGAGGTAGGGTGCAAGTCAGGTCTTGGGGTTGGTTGGTTCAGTTGGTTCATTATGATTTATTTATTAGCAAAGAAGGAATAGAGTGCAGGTCTTTCCCCTTTAGCTCTCATAGATGAACTGTGGTTGCACAGATACTCAATTTATTTGAGGCTGCATCGGAGACAACTTGCAGAGCAATGGTAGTTATTTTGTCTTCACAATTTGGACCACACTTAATCATGGGCAAAATAAATAAATATGCAGACTACATACTGGACAAAATGCTATGACCTGGACACGGCATGCTGCGCACACCAGGAACAGGCGGGTATCCAATTGTCCAAATATGAGCGGAGTTGTGGAAAGGCTGAAGAGAAAGAACAACAAGAGTGAAAGACACACCCTGACCATCCAATATTCAGACCGTGCTTCAAACCAAGACTTCTTCCCTCCCCTTGTCCCCAACATGGTTTCCTTGAGCCAATTTGTCCTCTTCCTCATCCTCAACAATGTATGTGCCCTCCGCTGGGCCAACAGGTACATTCAAGTCTGGAAGTCGTTGAAGTTGTTCCTCATACTCCAGCAAAGCAGCAGAGTCAACCTCTGCTAGCTTTGCATCAATCTTGGCTATATCCTTCATTTGGGAAGACCTTTTGAACAGGGGTCTGGCTGTCTTCCATAATTCAACTGCCTTCAGGACCTCTCCACGGTTATTCAGTATATCACCAATTCGAACCATGCAATCTGCCCTCAAATGATGGACATCCATGAATGTGAATCCATCAAGAGCAACCTTGAATAATCTGAGTGCTGTTTCATCATCACCTTGGGTGGCAAAAATCTGGCCAAGGCATCGGAATGCCTGCATTGTCTGGCGCATGTCGTTGCACTTCAGAGCCAGGCTAAGGAATACTCCTGTCCATCGGAGTGTAGTTGAGATGCAATTCATGCCAGTGGAAAGATCTCCCAGCCTTTCAAGGCATAGGAGTGGAAGGCCTGTTGAAATGTCCTGAGATAGTGAAAAACACTTTTCAAGCATTTCCCTTCCAGCACCATGATCCCCATCTCGAAGACAGAGTTCAGCAGCCACATAATCAATGAAAAGACCTATCTGTCTGCCATAATACCCATACAATGCCTTCGAATGAGACTGAGCCATATCTAGAGTTTGGCGAATGTTTTTTGAGTCAGCACCAACAACAACATCAATGCAGGCAATGTTCAAGTTTCCTAGGATGGCATTGTATGAAGTTGGCTGACAACTGGATGCAATGGCTACTTGAAGTTGGCGACATTCAAGATACTCAGATTTCACAAGGTGTGTTTCAGCCTCCAAACCTAAAAGGTTAAGCCCCAAGATACCATGTTGCAGCCCACAAGCAGTTAAGATATCTCTGGACTTTTGAAGAAGAAATTGGTCATGCCGATAGTTTGCCAGGGTTCCATGACATTTTGCTTGCAGGTAGAGAGACCATGCTTGTCCATAGATGTCCCCTAAGTGCTCAGCATATCTATGTGCCTCCTTGGCATGTGTGAGTGCACTCAAGGGCTTTCCGGTAATGAGCAGGACTTCACATATGCTGGTTAAAACTTGGCTGCCAATAATTGTGGGATATCCAATACTGTCTGCAAGAGCAGATGCTGTTTCATAATACTTGAGGGCTCCTGCTATATCTGACTGTGCTGACCGGAAGTAAATTCCCAAAGCATGGTACCATCTGGCTGGTGAGAAATTAGTCAGGTAAAATGACAGTAATTATGTCTTACCCTGTTCCAGTGGAGCTTTTGATTGGAAATACTGAGTCCCTAAGGTGATGTTGCTATTGAAATCAAGATCCGGCAAATAGTCAGAACTTTGCAGTAGCTCAATTAGATATTCCCCAAAAATTGGATGGTCTTTCCAATGCAGGATTTTCCCAGAAAGCTGGAGCAGAAGGGGTGAGTATGTGTCTTGAACCCGAGCATAGAATTGATTGAGAAATAGGATGCTCTGAAGATTCTGGACAATATCAGACCCATCTGTTTCAAGCCCATTGTAGAGAATAGTGCTGAAGTTTCCCAAGTTGCATGAAATTTGAGGGAGTATATCAGCTACATTGAGATCCTTGAATTGGTTCCAAAGATCAAGAATTTGATGGAAATGTTCTCGTAGCTTCAGCTTCAAGGTATTTGCTGGAGGATGAATATGGAGGATGTGTTCTCGAATTGGAACCAGCACTTTCAGGTGCTGATTCTGGTCAACAAAGGCCAATGATGTCCGAATCAGAGTTGTTTTGCAGGCAAGGATGTCAGCAATGGGAAGTTTGGCTTGTACCAAATCAGCATCTCTGAGCCCATCTGGTAGCATTGACAGAATGCCAAGCAATTCCTGAGCACCTGGGGTCATCCGGGAGCTGGTGTAAGATAACATTATGGAAATGTCCAGGCTCGATCTCTGGTCATACCCTTCTGAAAGCATATGGGTACTTTCCAATTTCCAACGAGAAAGTGCCTGGGCACATCCTTCAGAAGCAGCAACACTTGCAATGAGACTGACCGCCAGTGGAAGATTCCCTGTTAGATCAAGGAGTTCTTTGATGATGGCATCATCATGGCCTTCATCAGCAACCTCAATGAAGGTCTGCCAAGCTGCCACATTGGAAAGTGGCTTGAGAGGTGCCAGGAAAGGCCTGGTCCATTTGACTGTACTTGGTCGCTCAGCACCTCTCAGGGTAATCTACAAGAAGTTCAAGGCATTATTGGATAAACTCGAAATCAACACTCACCACGAGACTCAAGTGGGGGACATCAGTCAGGAGAGATAGAAACTCTTCAACTTCAAAGCGAGATGATATTGCCTCCCAAGGGGTTTCCAGATTGTCCAGGACCAGAAGGGAAGGAGGAGCATGGGAAAAATAATGTGCAACTCTTTTTGACATGTTTGAGCCCTTCTCCAACCCAATATGATCTGCAATTGTCGCTGCCAACTCAGGGCAAGTGGGGCTCGAGTGGCATGGAACAAAATATCGTTGAGAATACTTGGCTTCCACCTGTGGATTATGGAGGGCTGCTGTGGCAAGGCTGGTCTTTCCGATCCCACCTGCACCGAGAATGGCAATGCGGGCAGAATTTTGGAGGAGTACATCAACCACATCCTTCAGCTCTGATTCACGACCATGGAAGATTTTGGGAGATGGTGGAAGTAGACTAAAGGATCCTGAACTACTATGGAAATCAGTGACTGCGGATCATTACGTCTACCACAATAACGGACCTATTCCCAGCACTTGAAAGAGCCCCAATCACCTAAATAAAAAGATGAGCTGGGAAACTATAGTCTGATTTTGAACTGCAACTAACAGAGGAGCGGTCCAACCAGGTAAGGTTTGGATCAGCTTTGAGGAGAGCCATAAGCTCATCATGTTGCTGTTTTGCATCCTTTTTAATTTGCCCTATTTGAGAGAGCAGTGATCCCCCAGCTCTAACCTGAATGAATTTTAGTGATGAGATGACAATGCCTCCGGACTGCCTTCAGACATACCCTGAACATCCCAATGGTCTTATGGAGTTCCTGCTTGCATGTCTCCAATTTTCCAGCATTATCAGTTTGTTTGAACAGTTGCTTGATCTTTCCCATTCTTTGCAGTGCTTGAAGGAAAGCAAAAATCTTCTGAAGTGTTCTGCTATAATGTCTCACTGTGTGCATCCCGAAAAATGAAATGATTACACACTCCGCAAATTTTGCAATGTCATATAAGAGTTCCATTGGAAGCACCCCTTTAATTTCGGATGTGGAGCACAGCACCACAATAGTACAAAGGATCTCGTGGATTTGTTCAGCCATTATCATCCACTCGTCCCTGTTGGACCTGACAGCCTATATCACCATCAGGAGGTATTTCTTTTTACTAGCGATGGGCTAGACTTACCTCCACACATTTCAGAATTGACAAAGTCAATGCTGTGGCTGAGGATAAGAAGGGAATCTGGAACGATCCAGCGATCTCCTCCGCAGTGCTAGCAGCCACTGTCGTGTACTGGATTAGATTCTCAAGCTGTGCTGGTACTTTCATTGTTGGGGATCATGGAATGCATAGTGAAAACTCAGTACTCTTATCTATCCTACGGATTCCCGCTGTCATAGGGCAGCAATTCAAGATTACTATCAACAGGTCTGCCGAACTATGTTACATTCACTGCATGTCAAACTGCAGGCAACCATAGTCTTACAAAGGAGTGCCATCCGTCTGGGTGTATGTATATTCCGTATTCTTCCCACAGACACTCTCATTCTCAGACTCACATAAAGCACATAATATGTGCAGGAATACTCACTGTTGATGTTCTGCAGGAAAATAAGTGCCGCAAACAAACAGGGAGATGCTGCGGTGAATTTACATTCCATCATTATAACATTGGAATATAAGAACCGATTTTAAGGCAGCAAACGGCAAAAAACAGCAGAGCTGGGGCGGCTATCCGTTGATGTTCAACAACATCTGTCGGCTGAGCTTCTTGTGTCGTGAAATCACAACGGGAGCCGGGATCCAATCTCCACTCAATGAGGCACCGCCTTCAACAATCCGCAGCAAGAACCGCTCCCAAAATGCAACCGTCCAATAATGATTGGTCTCCGAGGGCCGACTCCCCGCCCTCACTGCGGCATCTACTACTTTTTTTTTGTCACCGGTGCCGTATATTCAACTTGGAAGCGAAATGAGGTTCAATTATGTAGCACATTGGGAGGAAATTACTCGAAGA